GGACGGCATAGGGACATCCTAGGACAGGATCGGGACGGCATAGGGACATTTTAGGACAGGGGCGGGACGGCTTAGGGACACCCTAGGACAGGGGCGGGATGCCATAGGGACGCTCTAGGACAGGAATCGGGACGGCATAGGGACATTTTAGGACAGGGGCGGGACGGCTTAGGGACACCCTAGGACAGGGGCGGGATGCCATAGGGACGCTCTAGGACAGGAACGGGAAGAGACACACAGAGAGAACGGACGTAAAAGGACACAGTGGGACATGCACGTGTGCGAAGAGAGGGACATTAAAAGATGTCCCTGGGAATGAGAATTCGGGACAAGACTAATAATGACACTAAGGGACACATACAAATCAGCCTTGTCCCCGCTTGTCTTTATCCTCACCAGGGTTTTTACTTTACGTCCCCATTACTGTAACCATTAATTCAGCCAGCTCGTCTGTATGGCATTCGTTAGACTTGACACATTTCTCTCCGCGGGCCGCCGCAGGCACGGTCACCCTCCGGGACCTCCCGGGATGCGTGAGGCCGGAGGTTGCACGGCGCGTTGGCGTGCGTTCAGGTCGACGTACTTCTAGTCAGAGCCAAGGTCGTTTGTCGTTCCCACAGGAGCTCCAGATACCGGTGATAGCTGACCTCGCCGTCGGCCACAACCTCATGGACCACGTGTCCGCTGGCGGCGTTCTGTTCGTGGTCAACCAAAGCATCTCCCTCAAGTAAGACGTAAGACGCAAAACCGCGAGCACACGCGGCTCCCTTCTTCCTTTGCCAGCTCTCGTCAAGACTGTCGTCTTCCTCGCCCCTCGTCAGGTCGGAGCGGCTGTACTCCGGGCCCATCATGACGGAGTGGCTCGTGAACCACACCGGCCCCGGCTCCATCCCCGGCGGCTGCGAGTCCGTCGCCTTCTACGCGCTCGACGGCAACCCCGAGGGCTGGCCCGACCTGGAGCTCATGCTCATCTCGGGGTCGCTCACCTCGGACGTCACCTTCCGGGACGGCCTCGGCCTGGACCCCAATCTCTACAACGAGGTAAGCAGGCATTCCCTTACTACGTGACCTGTAGGGGGCCCGGCGGGATGCAAATATGATAATGGGGTCCCCCGTTCCCGTTGTACATCTTATTATGGGGTCCCGATAGACTCCAATGATGGTTCTGTCCCATTTCGAACCACATGGTTTTAGTACCCCCCGCCCCCTCTCCCGGAGAGGTCGCGGGTCACGTATAGTCCCTAAGCTCCGGGACATGTTGCCGATGCCGTGCATCTAACGCGCGCCCCTTCCCAGATGTTCAAGCCCATGGAGCACGAGGACTCGTGGTCGCTGGTGCCCATGCTGATGCGGCCGCGCAGCAAGGGCCGCATCCGCCTGCGCAGCCGCAACCCGCTCAGCAAGCCGCTCATCGACCACAACTACTTCGAGTTCCCCGAGGACCTCGAGCTGCTCGTCGACGGCGTCCTCGAGACGCTGCGCATCGTCCGGACCAAGCCGTTCCAGCGGCTGGGCACACGCCTGCACGACGCGCCCGTGCCCGCGTGCGCGGCTCAGGGCCTCGCGTTCGGCTCGCGCGAGTACTGGCGCTGCCACATCCGGCACTTCTCCTTCACCATCTACCATCAGTCCGGCACCTGCAAGATGGGTCCGGCCTCCGACCCCAGCGCCGTGGTGGACGCCAGGCTACGGGTAAGATGATGGCAACGCTTCGAGGGGAGATTTCTCGTTGGGTTGGTAGTACTAGCGCGCCCTGTGCTTTCCCGGGCAACCGGTGACATATTGTCTAAATCGCTGATGGATGGTCATTCCCTCACGGTACGGTCCCCGGCTGCGCAGGTCCACGGCGTGAAGAGGCTCCGGGTCGTCGACGCCTCCGTGATGCCGGAGATCCCCGCCGGCCACACCAACGCGCCCACCTACATGATCGCCGAGAAGGCGGCCGATCTCATCAAGCAGGACCACAACGTGAGGTGACGGAGCGGGCGGGAGCAGGAGCCACTGTGATAATGTTGCTGCTGACTCGGCGAGACTGGCGGCGGCTGTGGACTCGAATAGTAGTATGTAAACATGAGACTGCCATGAATGGAAGGTTGTTCCATCATTAATTATATTTTATGAGTGAATTTTTTTTTGGTGCATAAATCGTGTCAGTATAGTTCTTCCCCAGGAAGCACTTAATTAAGGGAGAGGAAAATATAAAGTAAAGACACAATAAAGACTTTATTTTAAGAAAATAATTTGACCGTTTAGTGGGTTTATATACAAGACTTGAGTGAGGAGAAAATTACAACTATGAAATAATACAGTACGGAATCAAACTTGTCACAGAAATTGAAAATGTAACTGATGAAATGTAAGAGATTATATAATATCACATTACACCCGGATCATCCGGGTCATCATCTGATTCCATTTCCATAACTTTACGTCTTTTGGCTGGGAGACCAGATGTGCTAGGGATAGAAGGATCAAAACCTCTTTTACATGCTTGATTAGATACACCTTCTGAGATTAATGGAAAGCTCCATTGCTGAGACGAATTTTCAACATTGACAACAATCAATTGATTTGTCGATCCAGAGGGATTGCCAGGATCCTGTTCAGTTGTACAGTCAGCATTTTTCTTCTGCCCTTTCTTTCCTCTGCTGCGTCCTATAGGAACTGGATTTGGAACAAAAACCTCATCATCCTTATCATCATTGAAAATATTTGAACTGTCATTTGGTCTGTATCTTGACATGAGCGCTGGCCAAAGAAAAAGGCAAAACATTCTTTCATCAAACTTTTTCTTGGCTTCCTCTAATTTTTCAAAACTTACTTCACTTAAGTCTTCCTTATCCAAATTTTTATTGCTCAAATTGATCAAATTGCGCCTATTCAATAGGAAAGTTCTCAGACCAACAAGAGTTGTTAAATTAGGTGGGAAGATAAACATTCCTTTCCCTTTTGCAGAACTACTTTTTATTGGTTTATGACAAATACTAGGTTGCTTAAGAGGTGGCTCAAAAAAGGCAGGATCTTGATTTCTATCAGCAACAACTTCATCTTGAGCAAAATTCATAACAGGTAAATCAACATACAAAGAGGCATAATTGTGACTTGGAATATAGTCAATATTTTTTGGGCATCCTTGAAGAGGAGAATCATCTTCATAAAACACAGTATCATCACTAAAAAGTTGAGCTGTTGTATTTTCCGAAGTCTCCAAGTCAGGGTTAGTATTTCCCAAAACATTTGACTCAAGGATAGTTTCAGGAAAATCTTTGAAATCAATGGTGTCCAAAACAAGGTTGGCAAGTATATCCCTACAAAACAATAAGGTAATTAGTGATTGAAGTTTCTATTTCAATATTGTCTCTCTCTACAATGAAACAGAAAACTCACCTGTCAGCTGGTGTAAGAGATGTATCAGTTTGAATCTCCTCAAAACAAGGTAGATTTAATTTTGAGTTTAAAAGCTTAAGTAGCATAACTAGCTCTTTAGCATACTTTTGTGCTTCTTCTCTTCGTACATTAAGCTTTTTGGGACCCCCAGGCAAATCATAACTGCAGCGAAAATAATTTACCAGGTCTGCCTCGATTGGGGATTGTTTTTTCTTTTTAGGAACATCTAAGATTGACTTTTTCTTCTTTTTCACTAAAGATGTGATGAGATTGTTCTGGAAAAATGTAAAATTGATAGATAAACTTGGGATAGAATATAACATGTAATTAATCAAAACACACACATGTAAACACACACAGTACCTTGGCTTTTACCATATCTTCTAAATTATCACAGCTTAATATAGCTCTAGCTTTGTCCCATTGCTCTTGGAACTGCGAATAAATGTTAGGATTGTAAACACGAGCAGGAGCTTCAGATATAGGAGAATCTGGATTTTTGGCTCTCCATCGAGACAGAGTAGTAAAACGGTGTCGCACCTGAGAAAATGTCATTGTTATTTTTAAAATACATGTTTTAAAAATGATAAATAAAACATGAAGTAGTATTGAAACTGGGTCTTTTATCCAATACCTGAGTGCGATCTTTGGTAGGAAACCACTTAGATATTTTGGCCCAATTTCTTCCATGCTTTTCTGTTAATTCAATGAGATTCTTGTCATCATCTACAGTCCATGGAACACCATTGCCTGGTCTATTTAGGTAATGTTTGTAACGGTCCCTAACTTGGCAAGTGGTCCTATCTTTCAAAAAATTTGCGATTCGCTGAAAATCTTCACCCCACCTGAAATGTAATAAAACAATCAAAATTGAATATACTATTCGGTTTGTGTCCTAAATACAATAAACTCTACACCCAGAAAACATAATCCAGCAATGGCAACTTACATTTGCACTCCAGCTAGTATCATTATATCTTCTTCTTCAGTAAACCGTCCTTTTTTAATAGCTGGATTAAGTGAGTAAGTCCAACGGTTGAAAACTTGAGTTTTAGTTCGGTTCTCCATATCATATGCAACCTAAAATTAAAAGAATAAATAAATTTTGCTTGATATTGTCACCTGATGTATATGTTAAGAGAAATGGAAATAATAAAAATGTAAAGAATACTTCACAAATAAGCATTACCTTCCCCCACGGAATAAAGTTCCCAATTTTATATTTTTCAACAGCACGGAGAAGCTTTTTGTCTTCCGCAGGGTCCCAAGTGTTCCTTTTCAAAGATACATTTAGTTTGTTTTGATAAACAATAAAACATTGATAACCTGAACGATTAGTTCCAAGCTCTTCTGCAATTTTATCCCAATCTTGATGGCTAAAAAAAAGTAGGAGGGAAAAAGAAAAGCTATCAGAAAAACTGAAAAAAGTTGTATGTAAGAAGCATAAGACACAAAAGCAAACACTCAATACATACTTGTATTTTTTGGCCAATTCAAGAAGCTTTCCTTCCTCATCTTCAGTATATGGCGTTTTATTGATTCTGGGGTGTAAGTACAAGTTCCAAAAGCTCCTGCAGCTTTCAGGTGACTGTTTTCCATCCAGAAATGAAGCTGATATTTTCATCCAATCATGCGCACCATTAGCAATTTCTTCATCAAGCATGGATTGAGCCACAGATGAGACATCAAAATCAGCAATTTTTTGTTCAATCTCAACAAACCGTTCAGTATTTCCAGACAGTCGCTCTGATTCCAATTCTTTGCGTAAGACAGCTAACTTTAGCTTTGCTTCTTTGAGACACTTTTGAGTTGCCACCTCAGTCACAGCGTCACTCAATGCTTTCTTGTGAGATGTAACCCATTGATGATAAGAATCAAGTTCTGACCAGCAAATCTCTCTGTTTTGCTTCTTAGTATGATAATCTTCGTTAAAAGGACAAGGATAAAAATTCTCGGTTTTGAAGTACGGCATACCAAAGACGTACATCCACTGGCTTTTCATGTTGATGGAATTCCCAAGATTACTGTTACTATGAATGTTGTCCTGAACTTCATTTAATTGCTTTACCACCTTGGCTATATTTTGTCTAATTTCTGCCTCTAACTGCGCCAATACTGCATCATACTCTTGGTTTGCCTCAAGGGCTTCAGCCCAGGATGGGTTTTTGCATGTATCTTCATTGTCAATGGAATTTTCTTCTTCAATAGCTGCACTTGGAACAGTGTCGTCTGTTACAGTAGACATACCTTCATGTTCTGAATCCCGCTCGCCGTCCGAGTCACTGTCAAGCGTGGCTATGGTGTCATCCACAACCACTGACAGAGCAGCATCTTGTAAGCGGATCGACTCCAGTAACTTCACTTTCTCTTCATCTGCATCTTCCATTGTCCCCTAAATTTAATTTGATAATATCGCTCGAAATCAAGTTATATCTGATCGGGCAGAAAGAAGAAGTGAGGTTATGGTGGCTAAACAACATTTCCTGGAAACGCCTCTCCCCATGCTATTAATGATAGGATTCGAAATAATCGGTACTTGGAAATTCGACATTTATAAACAGGATGCTCGTGATGTTCTCAACATTCATGCACAAAGTAAGGCTAGACTTACCATTTCCTTTGTTTATTTATAACATTCTACACCCGCCGTGTTTTGAAAATTGGTTGTAAATGACAATCGATCTCTCGATTCATTCATTGTGTTTTTGTATGTATGAAAATTATCAAAGTACGTATTACGTTTGTTGGGGCGGCCTCAAGGCAGGGGCGGTTCGTAAGGTTTCGTGTGTTATCATCAGTTGTTATCAGATCCTACCGTCACGGAAGAACTTTTGAAATGGTTTTAACGATGGTAGACGTCATCTACATCAGGTGACAGGTGTGATATCTAGCAACCCCCCACCAATTTTACTAGTCCCTGTAAATTTTAGTATTGCTGATAATATTATCCACTATACAAGTTTGGTTTTATAATATCCTTATATTTGTGAAGGAAACATCACAAGAAGACTAATAATTTTATTTTTCTTATTCCATATTTAGGAGGATTATTTTTTAACAACATATCTAGTCAACACCCCACATTACAGAGAATTTCTAATAGTCATACCGAGAGACCGAAGTTAAACTCAAGCATCATGTTACAAATAAATTGGGCGGAACTTTTCCCTACAAGATCCAGTGTTGTGATCTTTGCTGCATATGTTGGATTCTTTACCAATCAAGGTATGCTACACAAGATAATATTTCTGCCAAATGCACCATTTTAATTGCCTAAGTAACCGAGAATCATCAAGAATTGGTCAAATTGTAGTTAGTGACATCACACTGCCAGATAGTCACCATGACGTATTTCAGCTAGTGGAACTTGATGTAATATGGACTCTCTTGGGTCAATAATAAATAAATTTCATGTCAAAATTACATTCTCTTGTACAAATCTGAAACATGTCATGGCGACTAGCTGGCAGTGATGATAGTTGAACAAACTAACATCCAAATTTAAACAGGAATTTTAGTGAGATGGACTCAGGCATCAGACAATAGTTATCCTTACAATACAGTAACTGTTGTTCTGTTAACGGATTTTCTGAAATTGATTATTACATCGGCTCTATTTTGCAAAGAGTGAGTATTTCTTTGTCGATCAGACTTTTTGGCCAATCTTTTATTTGAAATATTACCATTATAATTTCAACACATCAATTCTTTACAGCCATCCAATTAAATCTCTGTTTACAGAGGTATTTAGAAACTTACGAGGTTTGTATTTTGAAATTGGTGTACTAAGAAAAAGTTATAGTGTAGAGATATTTTTTTACCACTTTCTCTCTTATTTTACAGTGTGTTCACTTTACTTAGTGCCAGCTTTTCTGTACAGTTTGTACAATAATATAGCTTTCCTCAGCCTGTCAGCTTTTGATCCTACAACTTACTACTTACTGCTACAGCTAAGGGTTGCTCTTACAGGAATTATATACCAGGTAATCCTTACTGACTTATCCACTATATTTTAGATTGTCTCAAAGAATGAAGTCCAGGTTTTGTCCAACACTTTTACACTCTTCTGGCATTGGTGTCTTTTAATCGGCCTTGTGTTAATCAGGATAAATCTTTAGTAAACAATATATGATTGCCCTTATTTTTTATGTAAGGTGATATTCAAGAAGAAGCTCAGCTCTACCCAGTGGTTGTCGCTCCTCCTGCTGACAATAGGCTGTATGATCAAAGAGACAGATTTTAACAACATTACAAACCTTTTTGGTGGACTAGCTGGAAAGGGGTCCAGCTTTATTCTTCTTGTATTTCAGGTAGTTATTGCATCAATTCCATCCCACATTGTCCTGTTTCCTAGGTATGCACCTTCTTAATATTCCTCTCTATTTAGATGTCTTGTTCATGCCTTGCTGGTGTCTACAATGAATATCTATTGAAGAAAGAATCTCCTACAGCCAACATTTTTATACAAAATGTCTTCATGTATTTAAATTCTATTATCTGCAATTTGGTTATGGTTGTGCTTCATGAGCCACTTAGTCAAACTTTCTCCAGTGAATCTCTATCAGCGGTGCTTGTTCCAAGTGTTGTCATATTAATGCTAAACAATGCAGGAGGCGGTATTACAACCAGCTTTTTTCTTCGCAATTTGAACTCAATCATGAAAACTTTCACTGGAGCTATAGAGTTAACTTGTTCAGCACTTTTATGCTATTTTCTCTTTGGTATTCCTATTTATGTAAATACTGTAATTTCTATTGTCATTGTGTCATATGCGACAATTTTATACTCTCAAAATCCAGTCTCCAGAGAAGATGTAAGCAACAAACAAAAGTTTGATACTGAGATGGCTCACCCTTTGATTGATAGGGAGTCCAAAGTCACCACTGTCTAAAATAATTTTAGCTCTTCATTAATATGAAGAATAGGTCATAAATTATTAATGATTTATGGTGTTAAGCACAGTAGTATTGCATTATCTTTAAGTTACTTGAGAAATTTGTATTTCTACAATGCAGTTAAGAAGGTGTGTCTGTTTTGTGAATTTTTTCTCTCTTTACTTTTCTCATTACAATTTCCTACTCATCTTGTTTTCTTGTGTTCCTAAATGCAACGAGTAGTTGCCATAATATGTTACAATTAAATTTTAATCTTGAAAGTGTTCCAGTTATACTCAAGCATTTACATTTGAATATTTAAGTTCCTTTACTCTACTGCGTCTTAATTTGTTTTTTCATGGTAAACCATAGATTAAGAAATACTGTCACTTAAGTTAAAATGCATTTTACTTAGGACCAAAATAGTTATTTTAGCCTGTCTCGGTATTCGCCCATAACATTTAATTTTTCTAGATGCAAGGCAATGTTAATTGACTTTTAATGGATATCTGTGGCTTTTCAAAATAATATCTATTTGTCTCTATCTGTGATTTTGTCTTACAAGTGCCTTTTTTATGCTTGAAGACTGAGCAAAGATTTATTCGCTTTGTCATAATTTACTTTGCCTTGTTACCTCACGTTTTTGTTTTCCTACGTCAAAATTATCCATAATTTTCTACGTAGAAGACCTTGGCAAAAAAGTTCTAGTATCATCATCGACATTGTGCTTTAATATTTTATTGTCTTTGTGTTTTTTCAACACATTCTGCTGTAATTCAGTGAACTATAGACTATAGTATTGTATTACAGTTTGTCTAGGGTGAATGCGCCAAAACCGCTGATCGCTTTAGTGTTCCTAATTTAATTATGGGCCCGAATGAGGATACCATGTTATTTTAACATTTCATTTCAACAGTAAACAAAATCAAGTCATCTTTGTAAATCATTTGGATATCGCTACTATCACTATTTGAAAGATTCCTTCTTTAACACAAGTTCTTTTCATTGAAGTGAGAAGAGTATCTTCCAGTATTATGAAATTCTTGGTATGTACTGACCAACTGTTACTGGTACTTCCCAGTTTATTCAGAGATGTGAATTGCAGATTTAAACCAATTGTTCGTGGTTGTGATTTGGGCTCCGGGCAATTAAATGTTGTTGTTTTGTTTTAAATGTCACAATATAACTTAGTGTGATAAAAACTTTCTGTTATGACCCAGTGATTGATTTGCTTTTGTGCTACTTTTACATTCTCCAGATTATTTTGTAACTGTGATTAATGCAGAAAGTATATATAACTCACATGTGATATTAAACATTCATTATTTCTACCTAGCCCATGACAAGTATCATCAGGAAATGTTCAGAACTTAAATGCTCAATGCTCATTACCCCTCAAGTTTTATTAAATTCCAGACAATGCATTACTTGCTTTTTTCTTTGTTTGAATGAAAAGAGCAACCCCTTTGGTAGATTTCTAAACCTTGAAACATGTTTTTGGTCTACATTACAAAACAAGAGCTCCCTTTTCTAAACTATGTACCGTGTGTTAGGGCTTTGTCAAAGCAGTATTCTGGTTTACCCACTTTCTCCACTCATAAGGCGCCATATGGCTCCTAGGGTAGGCAAACCTGCCAAACTGCTTTGTCGTAGCTCTGACCCACGGTAGAAAACATTAATAGTTACCAAGCTGAATTGAAAAATACCTTCACTAAGCTCAGATCTTCCTTACACTTGGAGTATTGTGCAACTTATTTCTTATTGCATTCTCAAAAACGAACTCAGTATCCATTGTCTTCATTTTAACAATGAACTTTTCAATTTAGTGTACAATATATGACACTCTTTTCTGAGAAGACCATGAGCAAGTCAGAACAAGCATTAGGTGCGGAGACTAGCAAAAATCATCTTTGTCTTTGAACTTCTTAATACAACTTCCACTAGAAGAAGTACATATGACAAAAAATGGTGCTGTTCTCTTTTTTCACACAACCTAAATGCCAGCACAACACACATTCCCCCCACATTTTTGTATGCTCATATAATACAGGTAGATAATACATTGGCAAGCAAACTTTAAAAGGAACCACCATTTATTTAAAAGAAAGTATATGAATATAGTGGCTTTACATACCAACTTGTTCAGTAACATACAACAATAGAGGTGGTAAATTTAATCAAAACATCTTGCTCTCCATTAAAGTACAGTTTTAACACAATTTACAAGTTTGTTTTCTGTTTGGACGCAAGATGGTAAGACCAAAAAGTAGCTGAAAGAACTATTGAACATGAGGTAGGAACATGAAGGCACATTTCTAAGGAAATGTTCTGCATTTTAAGAATGTAGTTATGTTTCTTTTTTACAGAATGGAAAACATGACCAAAATTTGAAAAAACTCTAAGCGATCCACAAAAAACGTCTATCTTTGAACTGTGTAAAAAAGGAGCAAAAAAATGGATCCTCTTTTATGATGTACACTGATGTTAATCTTGAATGCTGTATTTTAAAACAGCAAGGTGGGTGGGTACTAATGTTCTGACTAGACTTAGCCTTTAGGAGATCAGGAAAACAGGTCAATTAAAATAATTTTTACAAAAAAATTGAGTTGTGAAACAGAATTGATTAAATACTCAACACCTGATATTAAGATAGACAGATATCTTTCCTTTAGGAACAGATCACATTTCTTCTGGTGATTATGACACTCAAAATACTGACAAAATAATCCCAAAGAACGAATCACAGCAGACACTAGATAATGACCCACCTTAACTTACTAAGTAGGGAAGGAAATTTTGTCCAACAAGTAAATACAGATTATTCTTCACATGAGCACAGAATTCAGAAAATATATAAAATAAACTTTTGTGAAGACAAGTCCAAAAGTATAACAGTCTAATCTATTTCTTTCCAACAGATTTCTTTTTGCCTTAATAAATTAAAAGCAAGGAAAACAAAAAACATGCAAGTTTCTGGCTTGATTGTCAAAAAAGTGACAATCTATCTGAAGTTAATAGAAGACATACATAGTACATCTCATAACCATATGAGTTACAACATACAAGATACAGCTTACAAGCTGAAGTAAAGAAACTGTGGACATAAAAAACACCTACCTACTTATCTAGTATAGATCTATGGATAGAACATGTCAGAACACAACAATAATGTAACAAGGATGCAGGTTAGGCACTGAAAGATTCTATGATGGCAGACAGAGAGACTGTATTTGAATTCCTAAATGGCATCAATAGGCTTCCGTTTTGAAAAAATATGCCGTTTTCGAAGCCAGGAAATTAGTTAGTGGGTAAAGACAAAGCAAGAAAATTATTCAGCATACAAGAAGAAGAAAATACTTTCACCAGCCTGCAACTTTGATCCAATACGGATCTTGGGCAATTAAGATTACAAAATAAATATTAACAAAAAGGATACAGTTGAATGAAACATAAAGCACCCAATCAGGAGATTTCAATTGTTTTGGATAGGAAGAATTAAGTACTGCAGACAACAACACTCTGAAGGTGCACCTGTTAATAAACTTCTGCCAACTAATTAAGAGCTCAAACACTAAATTGAACAAAAGGGTGTTATTTACATCCACAGTCCAATGAACAGCAATGTCAAAGCTGTTCATTTGAAGATTTTGTAACTATTTCAAAATGAGTTTATGTTATGATTAGAAGGTACACTTACACAATGATAATATATAGATAACAAAATATCCTCTCTTTGAACACTACTCTTGGTTGCCTAGTACCTATATATGATATAAGCTTCAGAGTTCTGGTAAATTCACAGCACTACAAAACAGTTTGACAAGATGTTATAAAACAGGTGGATTGAAGAAGCTTTAATCATTGAAATTCTTGACTACTCTGTACAACAATTTCCCTACTTAAATGAAATGCACTTCTCCAACAGAACTACTGCAGTATAATCAAACTTTTTAGCATTTTACTGATCCATTTATAAAAGAAATGCTACATTTAATATAAACCAAAACCAACATCAGAGATGTGCTTGTTAGATCTAATGCCATACATACAAACATAGAATTATTTCTACACCTTATTGGAAACTTTACCAAAATAAGTTAGACATGAAGTAGAGATGGTGAAGAAAATATTCTTCAGAAATAATCTTGCATCAATTTCAAAGTCACTTCCACTCATAAACAGAAGACTGTTATTGCTACATCATAGGAACAATGCACACACCCTGCTTACTTATAGAAATATCCCTCTCAAGATGATAAATCTATAAGCAGAGAATGTTTTTGCCCCATTTTGCATTGGCCACACCATATATGCACTTTGCACCGGCTCAGTATCTTTCACTTCACCCACTCAGTTTTAGAAACACACAAAGATGATCTCACTGAACCTTTTTTTGGATAGCCTCTACGGAGTGGCTTACTTCTCACTCCTTGTGGAGGGCCATTTATTTCAAGTTTTAATGACTTTTTTTGGTTTTACATTTTACAATGTAACTAGTAAGCTTAAATAGGAATAAAGAAATAATCACTTCTTTTTTCCCCGATTTTATGCCCTTTCATGTTGCCTGTGCTGCCAAAATCGCCCCTCCTGTGTGAGGTGCATGGCAATAAGCCATTGTCATACTTCAGCAGCTGTTTTTTCCGTCTGATACAAGGTGACTGATGCTATATAATTATTGGCCATGACCTGAAAAATTAAGAATTTGCATTTAAATTAGAAAATTTACTGGGTGACCTGGCCTAATGACAACACACAATGAAAATATATGAGTACCATAGGAATATACACAAATAATATTCAGCACTTACGGTTAAAAAGCAAACACATACCTCAAAAATAATGTCTTGATACCCATAGCAAAATGTTGACCCAAAGGGGTTTGTTGTGTTTGTTGAATTAGCCCTAGTCAAAACTACAGGCCGCTCACTTGGCTTGAGCTGCTGTGAAATGGCATCCCATTTGGAGTAGGTAGTGATCTAGGAAGAAAAATTCTCATTAGTAAATGTGATGTTGGATTTTAACATCTTTCCCTTAAATTATGCATATACATACTTTCACTGGTTCAGGCAAGCTTTCAATCATCTGCTCACCACTACTATTTTTCAGACTCTTTGAAGGAGTGAGCATAAGCTGAAATTCACACCTATGATACCTGTTGACAAGTGAACAGTGAAAACTTATTTGATTTCAAATAATCATTTATTCTGTAAAAACCTTCTTCACAAATTGAAAAATATTGTCATTAATTGTATAGCCCACCAGAGTGGTTCCAAAAGTCAAAAGGTCATGGCATTGAGGAGTCAACTGTAAAACTAAAAGATTTGACACATCAGTTGACATTGGTAACAAATCACAAAACGCTGTCAAAGTTTAACATGGGGAAAAGAATCAAAAAGTTAGATTCTCCAAATTAAAATTTCCTTTCCTTTCCTTTTTACTTTTTTTTTTTTCTTTTCATCGGGACTTTATTTTTTGGGTCAAAAATCACACATTAGTGTGTTACACATAGTGTTTTAAGGTAGAGTCCATGACAGTGTGTATTTTTATTGAAGGGAAATTCTACAAAAACAAATTAGGCCTATCACTTTAAACCAAGAGACTCTAGCATGAAACATAGGACATTATTAGAAGAACCTCAACGAGTAAATTGAAATCTTGATTATTTTTCTCACAACAACAGCGCAACTAACTGCAACCCTAATATGGGGCATATAACTGTTTTTCTTATATTTCCTGTAAGGTTTCTATGTTAAACTTTGACCATATTGTGGGACCTTTGACCAATGTCCAACTACATAAAGTGAGGTGTCAAAAATTTTAGATTTTCAAGTAGCACCTTTATTAAGAGGCAACCCCATTTTCTTTTCAGTTATTATTTTTGGTTTTGAAAGCCTCTCACAGTCACATATGGAGCCTTGCTTTTGGGGCTTGTTAATCAATAACTTAAATTCGAATAAAATAATTCAACAAACAACTAAAAAAGTAATGTTGGCTAATAAATGTCTTACTTACATGTTAAAGTTATAGTGTCCAGGGTAATTTGTGTGTAAAACAAACTTTTTTGCCTTCTGAGTTTTGGCATCAAACAAAATATCCTGTGGAAAAGGCAAATGAAAATATTAATGCTGTTGGCTCTTGATGTGATTTGTGACCCCAAATCTGAATTAAACTTACTATCCCCAAGGTGAAGTAGTTGTAAAAGAAATCTGATCGTCTGGCAGTGACACGGCGGTGAGCGTTTGGACTATGTATCTTCATTTTATCCTCTGCTTTGTAGAACACTCGTGATGGAGCACCCAGAGCAGCAGCCACATCTTGGCAGGTATCTCCAAACAAAACTTCTCTTGTTAAGGTTTGACGTTTGGGGTCCATATCTCTTGATGGGCCTTTACAGAATAGAATAGAAGAGTTGGAAAAGTCTGGGCTATCAGGTTCACAGTTTCACGAGTCAGAGACGTACCTTGAGTAAAAAGATGCAAGCGCAAACCACGAGTGCTACCTGAGCCATTATTTATTATGGGTGACGATAGAATGTGGCACACGTCCAGGTACAATTGGTTGTGGTAGCAAGAGAGAGGCAGTGGAGGTGCTTTACACTCAGCCAAGTTGCTCCCAGCATATAAACATACTCGAGACACTACTGGTGATGCACCATTTGGAAACTGTAGAGAACCTAGTCCATGAGCGTATCCTGGCTAATGGAACAAAGAGAGTAAAAAACAGACATTCAACAAGGTTATCCAAAGAAAAGAAGTTTTTATTATAGATAGATATATGACTAGATTTCTCTTACCTGGAACTTTGTCTCAACAGGGAAGCAGAAAGAGAGGCCTCTGAAATTCAGAACAAACAACTGTTTTTCCGAATCATACACACCAGGCCTTGTTGCACCAAAAGAGTGCTCAATCTGTTGTATGCTAGGGGGTACTTCAGGAGAATTAAATGGCATTCCACTGGAAGAAGAGGTCAAAAGACATAAATGATACAACATACAATAAAGCTTACAACAAAATAGACAAAGATGAAGGGCAAAATACTTACCAATATTTTAATTTTGTCATTTTCATGTTATAAATTTCAATTATCTGTAATAAAAATTTGTTTAAGAAGGAATTGTTGACTACATTATGAATAAGTTTTCATTGAATTTAACTGAGTGGAATCAGCGCACATACCTTTAGCCTCTGAACTACTGGGTCAAAGATCAACCGAACTCCATCTTGTGGCAAGTTGATCATTAAATCGACATTCAAAGGATTCTGCAATCAAACAGAAAACACCCATAAAATGAATTGCTTAATTTTTGAGAAGATTCACAGTGTTTCATTTTTAGTACTTCAAATAAGCTATAAACAACTTGTCAAGTTATTTTTAAATATTTTCCCAACTAAACAGAATATTAATCAAAACTCCCTTTCTCTTACCTGGTCACTGTACAGCACTTGTACTCCCTTGATGATACCCACTTGGGACTGTATAATTGCTATTGCTTGGGAAAAGTGCATCCCTAGAACACAAAAAGTAAAAATAACAGTAAATATATGGTTTAAGGCTTAAAAACGAAAACAAATCTATGAAAGAAATCAAACTGAGACATTGACAGAGGTAAATGTGTGTATTTGTTTATTTTGATCACTAATAGTTTCCCAAGGTTTGTGTAAATGATGTGATACCTCAGTGAATTGACATAAAGAAAACGACTCATTACAAAAAGCATCAATCCACGAGACAGAAACTCACGAAGACAGCGAAGTGCCTTGTTTACAAGAGGGCCATTTCGAGGGAAGGTCACAAAACCTAAGGGGTTCAAATTTGAAACGCAAAATATCTGTTACCTAGGCCTAGCCCAATCCTGGTTCGATAACTCACCCAATATAAACTCCCATTGATCGCACCCAAGCGAGGTCTCAGGGACTAGTTCCAAATCCAGCATTTCAATAAATGCGATTTGCAGTTTCTTCACAAAGCTTCACTGTAGCAGCTCAAAGTTATCGCACAATTCTTGTCTAGTATATACTCTGCTCTTTGTCTGCCACTTACGCCATCTTGCTTGTGTTTGTTTGTTTCTTCTTTTCAGCTGTCAGCTTGCCGTGGGTGACGTCACAAACAGCTGGAGCTATGAGAACTTTACGCTGCGCCACTGTTGTTGCTACGCCTCAGCCTCGTCCGCGCGGGGGGGCCTCCATCAGCGACTCCGCTGACCATGCGGGACAAAGCGCGCTGGCGCGGCTGGCGGCCTACTGGGCCGTAATCTTGCACGTGACGGGGCTGTGTTGATGTGCTGCTGCTCCACGATGTACCAAAAAAATGAGACGAACACACGCGTAAAATCACTGCACGAGCTGCTGAAGCGCCCCAAAACAAGCGCGATACAGGCATGACTTCCCCACATGGTACTTCCCCATATTCCAAAAAGAGCTTTTTGACAATAGGTTGACGAACCAACGCCAAAGAAACAATTTTTGAGGCAGTCAATACTCATGGGGATCAAAGTAAAAGGGAACCTGCTTGAGGGAAGTCCCATAGTAAACATCGGCAACTGGGTGATGGAGATTTCACTGGGCCGCCTCTTTCCTGTTTGCCTGACGTGTTCGTTGAAGAAATGTCGAATTTATCAAAGCAGGTAAAGCAGGATGCATGTGGAATAGCTAAGCAGTCGTGTCAAGCCACCAGCAATGCTAAGTACCCGCACGGGTAGGAAGGTACGCAGCGGGACGGCAGCCTTCAGTCGAAAGGTCAGCCAGCACATGCTACAGCGTATACACGCGAGGAGGGAGAGGGGGTCCTGCACTGACCTGCTCAACGTTTTATCGAGAGGGGATTATTATTGCGCGATTGTGCTGCTCGAGCAGCAGGGCGGCCTTTTGACACTCCCCTATCTGTTGCCAAGCCTCTATTCGGCCAGTGGCAGTGTATCTCTGTACATTTTAATATTCTCTCTTCTCGATCCCTACTAGTTGCTCCTTTCTAACACATTATTGCTGGATCTAACGAACGGCGCCTGACGTAATTCATGTGTCATATTCATCTGTTCATTACAGCAGATTTACGGAAAATAGACAAAAATACTACTACAACAACAGCAACACCCCCCCCCCCCCACACACACACACACACACAGACAAAATGAAAAACTTCGGATGCATCGAATACTCCGACGGCATGTATTCTAGAAAATGTGTACTGAAGAGGACGATCTACGTATCTTCATTTTCAGATCACAACAACAAACTTTGAAAAGTGGTGTTTAATGGGCTGCATATCTACCGGGCGCGAGCGAAGGACGGCGTGACGGCTGTGCTGCCTATCAGCCAGGCGCGGTTGTAGGACGGCGCTGACGATGGGTGGGCTGCCTATAAGGCTGGCGCGACTGCAGGCCTGTGTGACGGATGGGTTGCCTACCAGCCAGGCGCGTCTGGCGGATCATAAGACCAAGAGGCATAGAACAGCTTTCACGGCTTTCGTGGTCCTAGCGGATAATGCGTAGTGTAAAATCATGTCAGAAGTTTAAAAAAAGTAAAATTATACCAGCTTTCTTGTTAGAGTAAACACCCTTTTGAGGGACAAGAGGTGCAAGATTGATGAAAAAACATGACAGGCATTAAAAAAAATGCATGAGAAATTTGCTTATAATCTTTTAATGGAATTCAAGTGTGAACAATTATTGTCATTATGGAAGAACAGATCTGCAATACATCAGTAGCTGAGGTACTCAGTCTCAAAAACGGAAGAAAAAAAAACTGCTAATTTTTCTTTAAATGAAAGGTGTTTTTCTATCAACCAGATGCATCAAGCATCATTACATGGGATGTGCTACCCACAACATAAGACTAATATAATTAAACTGACCGCCTGCAGTCTATGATACATAGAATATAGCTCATACTTAAGTATGCGGAACAGGAACATGGCACAAAATGTTTCTCCCAGCGGTAAATACAGGATAAAGCTAGAACTACAATATATCTGAATCAGAGACCTCTCACATAGGAACATCTATGAAACCCTACATATTAACAGAACAGCTTCAAGATTTTTTAAAAATATGAGAAGCATAAAATATTTCACTTTTCTTGTAGTCAATGAAATAGTATGCAGAAACAAACAATGAAGACCTATACCAAACTAGTACTCTTTACAGTAAAGGCATTAGATTTAAATCCCAGATATGCCAGAACAATCACAAGTCAAAAAGGGTAAAATAGATGGGAAAATGTTTAGCTTTTCTATTTAAATTTAAGAGGGGTCACATTTAAACGCCTACTATGCATCTATGACAATTTTTAAAAAATAAATATCAAAAACAGAGTGTTAAGCTCCTAAGTTGTTATGCAGGAGATTAATAAAATCTCACCCAGATTATGGTAAGTATACAGCAATAATGGATGACCAGACACAGCATTGTTGCACACCATTTAGGATACCAATGTCCGTGTTTTAACTTACTGAGAGAACCAGAGTTAATCTTTGGTGTGAATTGAAGCTAAGAACCAGCACAATCCTCAAAATCATCAGTTAATTACCAGAATACATGAAGTGGCAGTATATAGTTCTTATTTCAAGAGGAGTAAGAATTTTTCTTTCTGTGCTGGATGTCTCATCCCAATCAAAACAACATAAAGAATAAATAAAAGACTTCACAAATATATTATAGCTGCACTTTTTAATATAAAAAGTGCAATGTAAAATGAAATTGACAAAACAATGTCACCTTTAAGAATGACATCCTGTGATTGACAGGTACATCTTTGATTTCCCTTTATAGCTTGTGACATCTACTAGAGTTGTTTGGAAATGCTGAAACTCTTAAGGAATCAAGATAACGAAAAGTCACAAGCATAATCACTTAAAATACATAGATACAATAGATAAAATTGAACTGATAGAACAATGACAGAGCGTAATTACCTACAACGAAAAGGGATTCAAAGCAAATGGAATGTCATGAATGAAAATATTAAAAATTTCAAACAAGACCCTATAAAATAAACCTAAAAATATCACAGTGAATTAAAGAGAGAGAGATAAAGGAGATTGGTTTAAAATGTTCTTGACACAATGCAGAGTCAACAATTATTTTTAAACAATTGTTAAATGTGCATTAACAATCCTGCATTATAACTAAACAAATAACAATGATAAACTACTAATTCATAAATGAAAAATAACATATATAACTATAGGACATATTTTTTTTAACTGTGACTTTACCTTGGGTACAAGTAGGTATACAACACACACATAGAATAGAATACTGTTCTGTTTACATCTTGCAGGATATCACTAGTAAATTCATCAAAAACAACTTATAACATAGGCACAGGGAAAATCACATAAAAATATAAAGCCCATTCATTATTGTCGTGCTTGCATTTTCTGAAATAATCAGATCACAAAATTATTGTCATTATGTTACACAAGAATTGCACAAACTTTTAACTTAACTTTTACCACCATTTAGAATATTCTCAATGCTAGCATAAGATCCAAAGCCAAAACCAAGAAGTCCAAACATGACAATCGCAAGGTCTTTCCATAGAACCCAGTTATATCGACCAAGACCAACTTTCCAAAAGGTAATAATTTCTATCAGTGGCGGGAAGATCAGTGCTAGGGCTGAGCTACTCACAGCGCCCACAAGAGAAATAACAGCTCCAAGGTCTGGAATGAGTGCCGCCAATATAACTGAAAAGAAGAGGTTTATGTCAACAGAAATAAAGGTAAATGAATGGAAATAAAGGTTTACTCATTATTATACTCACAGGTGAAAATGACGATAGCAGTACGAACAGCATACTCTCCATACAACTGGGCTTTCTCTGTATGTAATTGGTTTTTGATCAATGGCCACACTATGTTGAAAGGCACATAGAACTGAAGGCCATATGACAAAAATATAGCCAATCCCATCATAACACGAACAGATTGAGCCAATCTAGAATAAACAGCTTGATTTTAATGAGGTTGCATGAAATTTATTTTTTAATAACTGAAGGATAGTTCCGAGAAAACTTACAAATCACCAGAAGGTAAGTTAAGAGTAATGCTGCCGGCAACTTTATCTCCATATTTCAGATAACCAAAGAATCCAACAGAAGTATAGAGCGCGGCTACAATAACCATGCCTGTGTTAAGGACACCAGTCAGTCCACTGAAGTCTTGGGGAGTTTCCATATTATTTTCCAAAGGAAGGACCTGAATTTTAAGAAAACATGATACAAATTTAAATGTAATGACAAACAAAAATCAATTTAAAACTGTACAAAATATGAAGAAAAGTATGACTTACCACACCAATTCCCTCAAAGGCATAAATAGCAGTACCGAAAAATAGAGGCAATTTGTGCCAAGGAGCAAATGCATGTACTGATGAAGTCCTAGGTAACCCTTGAAGCATGTAGAAGAATGTAATGCCCAATCCAGTGATAGTAAGAATGGAGGCAAACATGGACACTGGGGCCAAGTACTTGAGATTCTTAACCCAGTTAAGAACAATCATAGGTACTAACAACAAGCCCAGGTAAACTTGAAGGTCTAAGTCAACCCAGAAATGAGCCACAACCTAAGTAAGAAGAAACAATATTAGTAAAACCAAGAAAAATACTTCTACAGGGTGGCCACTCTGCCCCATAGTTTTGAAAAGGTAGACTAGCCCGCTCACAGACGGAGCGGGGAGGTGGGAGGCGACGGGAGAGGTAGGTGCGGGCAGGCTAGTCTACCTTTTAAAACTACGGGGCAGAGCGGTCACCCTGTATAGAGAAAACATTTGCTTGAGAGTCTGAGCTATGACATAAGATTTCAAGCTATTTGTAAAGTAGTTGTCTCAAGTTAAATTTGCACATAAGCAGGTGGAACTCCAAGGATAAAAACTTACATCTCTGATGTTGGCAGCAACAAAAACAAAATAAACACAACAAAATCCCAATTGTGTGATGCAGAGGAAAATATTCACCAGGATCCTACAAGACAGGAAAATATGAGGGTTATTTTTAATTAGAAGCTTGTTGACTCTTTAAAAAGCTTGGACTTGTTAACAAGCTGATTGTGAGATGTGTGTATACTTACTTTGCAATGTGAGAAACATGTCGAGTTCTGGAAGGGCCAGTAGCAAAAGCAGCTTCAACCACTTCTGAAAATCCAAGAGCTGGTACTTGTGTTCTCCTGCATAGCTCATGAGCACATTTTACCTGAAAATAGTGAAGGGAACAGTTTGATTAAAAATATAGGAGTAATAGGTGTAAATGTGACGAAAGGAAAATGTATGCCTTTGGACTCACCAAAATATGCATGCAGTGAGTGCAAATTAGCCCCATAACAAGAGTGCCAATAGTTCCAACCACAAGACCTGCATTGCTGAATGCATCTGGCATTGCCAATATGCCAGATCCTATGTTGCCTTTAAGCAAGTGTATCATAGTGTCCAAATTTCTGAAAAAAATACATACTAATTTTAAACATGAGCAAAACAAACAAAACAGATTTTATTTAGTTGTTGATGTGTCACGGATAGATCACATGTAAGCAATATGCCTTGGCTCCAGTTTCAGCCTTACCACCTCTCACTGATTAAGGCTAAGTTCCAGACACAGTTTCAAAGGTAATAACTTACGAGGTTGGGTGTTCAAGATTTCTGTTAAGTACAGGGTCGAAGTCAGGCTTTGGTGGTTTTCCAGGAGGGTGTCCCTGTCCTGCATCAGGTGTGCTACCCCCTTCCATGGGTCCTCCAGCAAGATGTACCACAACATTATCAGGAGAATGTCTCAGATCTGGACGTGGAATGACTGACCTGCAAAAGCACAAGCACCATTTTGTAAATGAAAATTTTCATAGCTCAAGATAAAATGTTTAAAATGATGAGGCAACTGTAGATACCTGTCATATGTGTCATTTAATGGCTCATTGGATGACACAAGAAGAGGCTGTCTTTCCTCCTTCTTTTTCCCCATCTTCCCTTGGACAGCACTGGAGAGCTAAAAGAGGACAAAAATATTTTGAGCCTCTACACATGATTCTGATTTTCATCTTTGACACTGTGTGTCAGACGCACGCCTAGCACTTGTTTGCAGGAGTGTTACACCCAAGTAGCAAACCTGTGCGCATTTGAGGTTTTAAAATGCCCCTCGAGTGGCGCACGATGTGCGCTTACTTGCGCTTCCACGGCTACCGTTTGCTACCTGGGATTACCTCAACACTGTTACAGCGTTACGCCCACAAAGTCTACAAGAATTAAAACTATTCACAAATATACAAAGCCAGCAAAGCATTTGAAGCTCACCGTATTCTCCACATTGCAGGACCCATAAAACAATCTTGAAGACATGGCTAATCCAAAAACTTTAACTCGGTAAGCGTAACACGAGAGCGCCAGAACACCACTTCCCTTCCCTGAGCAACGCGTACGCGGACTGAACACTGCCGCCCAAAACAAACCACGCTATGCCCTGCCACGACACGACTGGCCCGGCACTGTCCGTCTCTCTGTTTGTCCGTCTGTTTATCTATCCACGAGTATTCCTCCATGGGGGCATGGGCGCAGGGGATTGGCCAGGGGACCAGCATCCCTCCGCCCCCCCCCCC